TACTATACTACTATAGACTGTATTTACTCTTCTGAGAGGTAGTGGGGAGCTACAGGAGGAATTGGAAGGGACTGAGGAAGATGTAGAAATGATATAAATGAAGTTTATTTATAAGAAGTTATTACAACAAATTAGTTAAACACTTAAAATTCCAAATTCTGAAATGAAGGAACTAGCTGTTATCTTGCTGGCTGACCTTGTGATATCAAGCTCAAGGTAAGACTCTCCTTTATCAGTTTCCATTTCTTCTGGAAAAGCAACAAACACAAAAAGAGAGAGGCCCTCAGGCTCCCTGTGAGTGAGCTGACTGCAAGTTTGTTTTAAAAGTAGTAATATGTGCCTTGTAGGGCTCCACTTACCCTATGTCTGTGAGGTTTACTTTTGATGTGAAGTTTGAGAAAATGACACTACACCTGAACTCTTTACTACTGATACTGACCTTGTTTATTTCAATACAGGGTTTTTCTGTGTAGTCTTGGCTATTCTGGAACTCCCTCTGTAGACCAGGCTGGCCTCAAAACTCACAAAGATTATCCTTGACTCTGCCTCCCAGAGTGATGGGATCAAAGGCGTGCAACACCATGCCAGGCTTACCTAAGTATTTCTTTTAAAAGCATGCTGTTTTCCCATGTTTTAATGGCTTATTAGTTCAATATACCTCTACTAACAGCTAGATTCCACAAGGGGCTTCTCCAGGACTGGCTAAAACTGGTTACTGGAGCAGCAAAGCACACAGCCTTTGGAAACAGGCAGCATAATTCTGCTCACACCCTTACTCTGTTCTTTGTGGTTATGGAGCTGAGTTGAACAATCTTTGTGTCTTGATTGTGCATCTGAAACAGGAATTGTAGCCTTTCAGATGGGTAAATGTAAAATTAACTGGCATGGGTAGTATCCCTTGCACAATTTCTGACACACAAAAGCATCCAATAATATTAGCTGTCACTGCTTTTTGCCTGGATCCTTTGCAAGGCCTAGGAAAGTAGAGGTGACAGTCAGCCTTTAGGCTTGAGGACTCAAATGTATAAACATGCAACAGATTGTAGTGTCATAGAATATTTACATGCAGGAAGCATGCTCAGGGATAGAGAGAGCAGGAGCTGTTTGTTAGTCACTGTATATCATATCTGCCCAGATAACTAACCCCCAAAACGCAGCACACACAAGTCCCCTGGTTTGCCATTTTGATTCCTGATTCCTAGTCTACTCTCCAACAGGGCAAGGAGACCCAATGACTACTGCCAGCCACTCTTACATCTGGCTATCAGTAGGACAATTATTAATCTCCCTGTGTGCCCAGCTTGCTGATCCCATTTGCAGGTATATGGGACTCACTGACCACACAATGAAACCATTACTTTGAACAGAAATGGTGACCGACTCACAGCAAAATCTAATTCTAAAATATATAAAAATAATCAAAGTGTGCACAGTTCAGTATTGTACCAGGGATTATTAGGTTAAAAAATATGAAACTCAAACCCAAAAGACTTTTTCATGTTGCTTTGCCTCTGGGTACTGCCTGACAGGTCAGAAGACCTTAGACTTCATCTCCAGGACACACCTGACTGCCTATGCCCAGGACTGCAGAAACAGAAAGACAAGGAGCAAGGCTACATGGAATTTTGCAGAGTTGAACAAAAAGCCTCACAAGCTACAAGTTTCAACAGATAAATTTTGCCATACCTCAAGTTCTCAAATCCAAGCATCAGGGCATGAAATAAACCCCTTGAAGTGCCACCTTCTAATTATCTTTCACCAACATTTCTTCTTAGTTTGAATTTGGACAGGACTGGGATAGTGATTCTTGTTGCTACAACAAGTCCAAGTTGCCAATGACTACCTTTGCCTTTTCACACCATCATTGATAAATCAAACAATACCACCACTCTGACAAAAATGATGAAATTATGAATGATGGATTAAGAAATATATGGGTTAATAGAAAACTATGAACACATACAATTAAAAAGAAAAATACAGGTAATTACTACAATATTATACATACATACAAAAGACTTGCAAACTAAAAAAAAAAATACAAAAAGGCGGGCAGAGGTGGTGCAGGCAGATCTCTGAGTTCAAGGTCAGCCTGGTCTACAGAGATCAAGGAAAGCTAGGGATACACAGAGAAACCCTGTCTAGAAAAACAAAATCTAAAAAACAACACAAAAAGTCCTAATCAGTCCAAACAAAATATTTCTATCAAGATTTCTAAAGGAAAGAAAGCCATTTTCCAAAGTATGAAGTCGGTTTAAATTCATTTATCAATAAAAACCAAACCAAACCCCACAAAAACCAGAAGTTAATACCGACTCACCTTCCTACCACCATTATTACCACAGCTACAATAAATCACAGGAGTAAGGCTGACCTGTCACCTACTTGGCACATGCAAAATGAAGCACAGTAATGCATTTTATGCCAATACAGAAGAAACAAAATCAATAAACTACTACTTCACATAAAAGTCATCTGGCTTCAATCTCAAACCATGTACCTCTGTAACTTTTGGAGGGCAGTTTCATGGGTCAAGATGACTTGGTCTGGTCTTGTTGTCTGAGACCATAGGCCTACAGATGTTCTCAAGGTTTATGAGTCAAGCCAGACACTGGCAGGAAGAATCAGGGTGATGAGAGAAAAAGAAGCTGGACAGGACATCAGGGGAGAGGCTGCTGCTGGTGGCAAGGAAAGTGGGTAGGGTGAACAGACTTTTAAAAGTGAAAGGTTCAGATGGCTGAACAAGTTTGTAATGACTGATATAAAATGCTAATGCTCAAGTATCTAAGAATTCCACAATCCTTAAGCTCTCTTAGTTCCCTGTCTACTAACCTACACATTTAAAGCTCTGATAGGGAAAGACAAAGCAATAGACAGTGCCTTGAAGTTCAAGAACAAAGTCTTAAGCTGGGCATTGTGGTGTGTGCTCAAGAATTCAAGGCCAGAGCCAGGAGTGGTGGGGCACACCTTTAATCCAGCATTTATGTAGCCCACACCTTAAATTCCAGGCAGAGACAGTAAGATCTCTGAGTTTGAGGACAGCCTGGTCTGTACAGAGAAGCTCATCTTAAAAAACAAAAACAGGAAAACCAAACCAACCAACCAACCAACCCACCCGAATTCAAGGCCAGCCTCAGCTACACAGGGAGTTTAAGGCTAATCTGGGCTATATGAAACCCTGCCACAAACAAACAAACAAACAAACAAATCTTAAGGACTAAGTGGGAAGGGGGTTGTAAGATGACTCAGCAGGTAAAGTCACCTGTTGTTAAATATGAATGACTGGAGTCCAATGCCCTGCGACTCAATGGTAAAAAGAATCAACTCCCACAAATTGTCCTTTAATCTCGACCTGTGCAGGGTCATGTACACACCCACACATTCAAACACACACACACACACACACACACAATATAAATAAATATAAAATACCAGCACTGGGGCAATTCAAGATCTGGGCTACAACACCAAGAACTTTTCTCAACCAACCAACTCCAAACAAAACAAAACAAAAATCTAAGAAGGAAGTCTGGGGAAGTGACTTTAAAAGAGCAGTGGAGGAAGAGAAAACACTTTACTGCAGAGCTTCAGGAGACCTCATGACCAAGTAGATCCCTCTTGCTCAAGACCAAGAGATGGAAGCCGAGGGCTGGCCAATATTTATCTGGCCTGAGATTGAACTGGGCAGACTGGCACACCTAGGCCCACCGGGGGAGGGAACCCCGAGCAGTGTCTCAGACTCCAGTCTCTCACTGAATGGGCCCCAGAGACCAATAACTCTGCATGGATCTCCTTTCCCCTCCTTGTACAGGTCCCGAGAAGGCCAGAGTGTATGGTCCCTTTTATATTACATGGACCCTCTACATCAGTGTCTGAGACCTGATTTTACCCCATAAGGCCTCAAGATCAACGGCCATGCTCCACTTCTCACAACACATGGACCTCATCTCACTCACCCTATAGTACCAACTCCTACCTAACTCAATCCCAGGGCCATAGCCAGAGACCTGTGTCTACAGCTCCCAGCTCTGTCTCCCTACAAGCTCTGGGGCCTGCATTCAAGACAGCTGTACAGCCTAGACTCTCCAGAGACCTGTGGCCACGGGCCTACCTTACCGGGCATGGTTCGATCTGTCTCCCGCCTTACCTCCTCAGACTCCCCACTGCCTTCCGAGATTGGCCTCCACGGCCATCTGCCCACTGACCCTCGAGACCTGCGCCCATGGCCATCTCCCCACAGCCTCCCGAGGCTAGCGTCCACTGCCGTGTCCCCGACAGAGCCCAGAGACGGGCCTCCGCCGCAGTCTCTCCCCACGCAGGCGGCTCCCACCAGCCGCCCCTCTCTCTCTTCAGCCGCTGGCCGGCCGAGGGTCTCCCAAGACAGCGCCGGCCAGGCGGGCAAAGGCGGCCGCATCCTGGCCGGTGGCTGAGCATGACCTTGCGCCCGGGGCTCCGGGGTCGGTCGGGCCTCACCTTCCGCCACGTCCTCGTCGACAGCGCCCTTCACCTGCGAGAAGCACCACTGGAAGTCGTTGCCGCCTGCCGGGCAGCCGCCTCCTCCGGCTCCTGCAACAGAGCGCGCCGTCAGGCCGGCCCCGCCCCGTCCCACCACCGTCCGTCCACCCGCCCGCTCGCGCACGGCCCTCACCTGCCATGGCGCGGGCGGGACGCGCCCAGCCGAGCGCGGCCGACCGAGGCGCTCCGAGCGCTCAGCCCCGGCCGCCGCCGCCGCCGCCGCCGCCGCTCCCGCCGCCGCCGGGGAGGGAATTTTTTCCCTTTTCAAAATGGCGCCCAATGCCCGTCGCCCCGCTGGATGACGTCATCCCCCTCCGCCTCCTCCGACGGCCAGTGCCGCGGGGGCTGCCGGGGGCGCACTGTGCGCAGACTGCGTCTGCGCGAGCAGTCTCGAGGTTGGACTCGCGTAGCCGCTGAGGGCCGTGGGAAGAGTGTCTTGGAGTAGTCCCCAGCAGGTACAGGCAGCCTTCTCGAATCGAGTTAAGGTCTAGGACGTGACGCTCCCTGCGTCTTTAGGGCTTCAGACTTGCTTCTGCGGCCTGCTGGACTCGCTGCTGGTAGATCCGGACCCTTCCTACAGCTGAGTCAACGTGAGCGCGGAACCTCCGTGAATCTGCTTATAGAGAGCGCTCCGCCGTGGGCAGGCGGGGCCTCTGAGCCCCCCAGCATCAGGAGCCCAGCACCTGAGTGCGTAATTTTGCCCATCTCCCACGCTCTCTTGCCCCAGTATCTTTCTTAGCTTCTGCGCACCGTTAGCATCAGAGTACTATTTCAGAGGTTCCTTGATCTTTCAGTATAGCCCCAGGGAGCCATTGTCGACTTTTGCTTCATTTGTGGGTGTGTGTTTTTCTAGCATAAAGAGGGATTATTCGCCGGTGGGCTTGACGTATTCGCATTTAGCTTTCATAGATACTGTGAAATTGGCATTGAGCTTATTGCACCACTAGAGGGCAGTTGTTCCAAACCAGAGCAGTCTCCAATCCACAAATGCTGATCTGCCTTTTAACAGGTTCCTGCCTGTTCTCAGTCTCGACTGGGATGCTGCTTGTGTAGAATTAATTCGTCTGTCCTGGTGGATCTTACTCATCAGTGGAGAAGAGACAATAAAACCATGGGGAAAGTCAAGTGGGGCAGAGAGAGGTACAGCAGAGAAGGAGAGAAAGGAAATAGGAGCAGGATAGTTGGCATCTTAAGAAAGCAATTGGAGGAGACAAGAGTGCAAGCCCTGCTAAGTCTTGGGCCACTGCTAGAAGTGGAAGCATTGCACACGCGGGTCCACCCTGACCTTTTCTTTTTTCGTTCTTTCAATTTATTCTTATGCGATTCCTAACACACACACACACACACACACACACACACACACACACTTTGGTCGGGATCTTTCCATGCAACCTGAGGCTGGCCTCCACCACACCTAGCTTCCTGATATTTACAGAGCGGCAAGAAACCAGAGAAAATGGCTCTGGAAGTCTAGTAGTAATAGTGGAGGCAAGGAGGTAGGATAGCAGGGGGAACAGGGCAGGAAGTGGACTCTGATGAGATGGCTGGCTTTGGCCATCCATGAGTTGGAGAGAGTCATGATGGAACAGTGCTTTCCATCAGCAGCACCCAGGGTTGCTTCTGAAAGAAACTGTCTGTTGGGTAAGTAGGAGGATAAAATGAGCTGCAGGTGTCTGGATGTGTGAGACTATTGGGCATTGAGGGTGTGGGAGTACCCCCCCCCCAGATTTTCAGGAGAGTTAAGAGCACATGTATATTCCTGGGAGGACATGCTAGGGAGGAGCTGACACTGGTCAGACAAAGGGACATGAAGAAGAAATGCTAAGCCTTTGGAAGGAGTACTCTGAGACTGCTTGCAGAGCTGGTGTCTAAGTTAAGTTTATTTGGACCCTGTGTGGGTCATGGGTACCTCAAGTAACACCCGTGTCGTTTTAGTATTCCATTCTGCTAAATTGTAGCTGCATGTCTAAAATATGCAATGACTAAAACGTTTCCCCCTGTCACAGATTTGTGACACTGGAATGCATCTTTATGAAGAATGGTAGACTGAATGGACAGACTCATAAGTAGCTGCCCAAATAATTAGTGACAGGCAGTGTGTATTGGGGAATGAACTCTTGAGTAAGAATCAAAGGGAGGAGAATGATCTAGGAGGAAAGGGGAGGGTGAGCATCAGCAGGAGGAGGAGATAGCCACCACCGCCACCCCTGTTGCTACCAACCTGACAGTGCAGTAGGGAAGAATTGGGTATCATTCAGCTTTGACGCTGGTACACACAGCTTTTGCACATTCTATCTGAGGCCTCTGGAAAGCAGGCTCTTGCTGTTCTGTGCATCCCTCCCCAGCTCTAGCTCTGTCATGAATGCAGAACTGTGATAATGAACAGAGACTTAGCAGACAGTCTGTGAATGTCACACCTCAGAACCTCAGCTTCCTCGCCTTTTAAGTGGACTGTCCTTACACAGCTCTCAGAGCTCCCTCTGCATAGTTGCGCTGTGACCATTGCTGTAGTCACCAATCACTAGATATTCAAGAATGGACTTTAATGCTGAACTAGCTTCTGTGGCTTGTTTTGAAGTACTGGGTCACAATTTGACCTCTGTGTTGCCACTGTCTATGGGGCTGGAATCCTTACAGTGACTTTAGATGGGTTTGACTTTGATCATTGCATTTTCTTTTTAAAAAGGCAGGTTAATTAAAATTTTTTCATTGTTTTGTTTGTTTGAGATAGGGACTTACCATCTATCCTTGGTAATCCTGGAACTCTACAGACCAGGTTGGCCTCAAACTCAGAGACTCCCCTGCTTTTTCCTCTAGAGTGTTGGGATTAAAGGATGTATCACTGTCCTAGTCAGGGTTACTATTGCTATGATGAAACAGCAACATGACCAAAAGCAAGTTGGGGTGGGAGTTACTTAATTTCCAAATGATAGTCCATCACTGAAGGCAGTCAGGGCAGGAACCTGGAAGCAGGAGCTGATACAGAGGCCATGGAGGGGAGCTGCTTACTGACTTGCTCCTCATGGCTGCTCAACCTGCTTCCTTATAGAACCCAGGACCACCAGTGCAGAGGTGGCCCCACCTATAATGGGCTGAACCCTTCCCCGTCAATCACTAATTAAGAAAATGCCCAAAAGGCTTGTCTACATGACATTTTCTCAGTTGAGGTTCCCTCATTTCAGATGACTTACTGTGTGTCAAGTTGACATAAAATGAGCCAGCACAGGCAAAATTTAATTCTTTTAAATTTATGCATGTCTATGCTAAGGCTAGAAGAGGGTGTTGAATACTCTAGTGTTGGAGTTACAAGAAGTTGTGAACTGCCTGGCATGGGTGCTAGGAACTAAACTTAGGACCTATGGAAGAGCAGCAAGTGCTCTTTACCACCCAGCTATCTTCAACCTCATCATTTCCTACTGCTTGCCTTAATATGGAGTAGGATAGTGCCTGCCTTTGTTCCCCACCTCTACTCCATCCCCACTTCCTTTCGTGTATCTATTGTCCTCCTCTCTTAAGTGTGTGGTCCTGTCCTCATGAGAAGTTCTGTGGGTCATTCCTTAGGGACTTTAAGTTACTGTGCTGTAGACCCTGCCTTTTCTGGTCTTAAGGTCTCCATAGCAACTGTAAGTAATTAATGAAACAAATACTGTGTCTGTTGAGTGAGACTGATTGAGTCTCTGTGCTCAGGAGCTCTAAGTCATTCAGGAGCAAGTCATCTTTGGGCCATATCTGTCTGCTGTGTAAGGAGGAGGGGCAGGAGGAAGTCCATGGGAGCTCAACAAAGGGGATCTGGGCTTTAGCCAGAAAGGTGGGTGCTGAGGCTATTGGGGAAGCATCAGTGACCTTGATGGGTGATAGGGGTTGAGGAAGGAATTAGAGGATAGAGATGACTCATGTGTCTATCTGCCCTAGGCATGGAGTGTTCAGTGGCTTTGAAGTGGGAGTGGAGTAGGTGTCATTCAGATGAGACTGTCTCCATTGGGGAACAACGTGGAGACAAAAGGAACTGGCTCTACCCATAAATGCAGGGGAGCACCCTCCAAGAGGCTTCTGCTGCAGGAAATGAGGCCTCAGGAGAAGCTATGGTTTGTTCTGGTGATTGCTCACCCTGTATCCTCCTCAAGCATTTCTGTACAATAAGTTCAAGGAGCCTGAGAACCCTGAACATAGAAGAGGATGTCCAGGCCTCTTTGTGCAGTACACTTGTTTTGTACCTGGTGAAGCACCAGGGCTGCTGCTGCCTTGGGCTGTGGCACAGACCTTGAGCCCCCTTACACTGGATAGTCAAGTAGCCAGTGCATGTCAGCCTGAAGGCTTATGGTTAACAAGAGTCTCCAGTTTCTTAAAGAGCACTGTTTCCAAAGCTCTTTGATAACCCTGTTAACAGGAATTCAGTGGGAGTAGAACCATCAGTCATGGCCTAACCTCAGCTAAGGCTGTAGAAACTTGGTTGACTCATGTAGCTGTATGCCAGCACTAACTTCAGTCTAAGCTACCATTCTGGTTCAGACTTTGGAGCTCCTTGGGACTGAACAGGAACCTGGGGGAGAGGGCAGGTGAGCATAGAGAAGCCCTGGGGATAGGGAGGAGCAGGAGTCCTGGGACAATTATACTCTGGTGGAGTTGCTAGCTCAGTTGCCAGCCTCCATGTCTGGAATTCCCGAGATTGCTTTGGCCAGATTCCAGCCACACTTCTGGAATCTCTAAGGTGTCACCCAAGGTATAAGAAGCAGGTGCACTACCTAATAATATGTACCCAGGAGATTTGGAAGATGTTCCTGGTGTCTGTGCATGTATATCATTGGCAAGTCAGAGGCCACTGAAGAGCTTAGAGTATGAATCAGGCACTTAATGCTAACCTCTCCCCACACCCTGGACCATAGCATCTTGCTAAGGAATGGAGACTCAGCACAAAGTTCTTGACTTTTGGGATGCACAAGTCCTGGTGTCAGAAGAAAGCCCTTGCCTCCCCACTTGTGCATTAGCTCAGGAACTCCCAATCAGGAAAATGATGTTAACCCTTCGGCTGCCCTCCATTTGCTGTTCCTCCCATTTCTGAAGGGGAGGCAGAGATAGAGCAGAGGGCTGAAACCTACTGTCCTTGCTGACAGTGTAGAGTGCAGTTTAGTTTGTTCATCCTGAGTTGATACACAGATACTCAGGCATGTCTGTGTTCCACATTTTGGAGCAACACAGCAGGCCCTAAATTAAGAGCAGAGCACACACTTCATTGAATTAATGCACAGCAGGTCTCTGAGAGGTTGGCCTAGAGGCTTGGGAAAACTTTTCCTCTAAATGTGATGGATACCTATGCATTTTCTTCTTTTTAATTTTTAAAACATTGTCAGCCATTTTATGTTTTTTTTTTTTAATTTTGAATCACATATTTTGAAGTGAGAGAAAAATACTTGCTCATTTTAAGTGCTTTTCTGAAAAAATAATTCACAGATGGGGATAACTTCATTTCAAAAATAAAAATACAACTTCCCAATATTCTACAATATGGCTTTGTTCTCTACATTATAAAATCAAGGCAGCTTGAGTGCAGTGCAGAGCCCAATGGCAGCAGAAGGCTTGGAACTGAAGGCACAGACCCAGTTCAGCAATTTGCAATTTTTCTTCACTGGGAACCTATTTGAACTTAAATTATGCACAATAAATGTCAAATCTTCCCCCATTTATCTTAGTAACTTAGGAATCCTGTATATTGGGAAAAGCTCTTTGTACATCAAAGCCCCTTAACAATGCAAGTTGTCTCATCTTCTCGTGGGAGGAACTGTCAGCTTGATTGATGTGATCTGGGGAGTGAGGGCTGCTCTGAGGAGAGCCCCAGTGCACAGGCTTCTCTTCTGCCTCAGCTCTGATTGCTTGCTCTGTGGAAAGCCCTTTTAGGGCAGCCTCTTCATATTAGCACCTGCTATCTACCCCATGAGTCACCTTTCGAATCATGCCACCATCAGGAGCAGAACCCACACCAAGCCTAGTGACAGTCTCCTGTCTGTCATTAACAAGGAAGGGTCAGGTATGCAACAATGTATTCTTCAAAACTTAACCCGATGGTGGCCTCATGTTCTAAGCTAACATAGTGGGTGTCCAGGAGCTTGGTCTTGTGAACTTGACAGTATTTCCTGGGACTTACCCTAATATGAATATTCCAGCTGCAGCATCATTCCCTACCACCACACTCCCATTCAGGAGTCACCCTAGTGGCCAGCACCAGGAGCCCAACAAGGTCAGGAGTTGAAGCTTCTGCTCCACCAGATTGGAAGACTCACTTCTCCTTTCTTGTTTGTCTCATGTGGACCAGTCTGACCTTGGACTCTAGTCCAGGATGATGTTGAATTTCTGACTCTTCCTGCCTTTTGTCTCTCCAGTGCCGAAATTACAGGTGTGTACCACCACACAGGTATATGCTGACATACAAGTGTGTGCCACCAATGACTTTCTAGCTTCTCTGAACTAGTTTCTTCATTGGCAATAGTTAGGAGGAACAGTTCCTAATCTAACATAAGGAGTTAGGAGGGCACCAAGGAAGTACACTGAAATTCTATGTAAACCTTATTAGTAGCCTCAGTGAGCGATAGTTTAGTTATTGAGCTTCAGAGAGGTGGGAATCATTTATAGGTCTTAGTACATACATACATAAATACATACCCACCCACCCATAGAAATACCAGATGCCTGATTTAACCCTTTTTGGAGGACCTTTCCTTAGCTGGTGTTTTCCTCATCAGGGAGTTGCTGCCCTCTGCTGGTTGTGAGAGGGGAATCAGCTCAGTGCTCACCTTGGAAGTCCTGGAAGAGACCAAGGTAATGGATAGGGAGGTGATTGGAATCCTGTTTTCACAAAAGCATCCTGGAAGCAGAAATCCCTTCAGATCAGAAGCTGAGCCCTACCCCTACAAGCTGTTGGGATCTTTACACTTTAGCAAACCCACTGTAAGATCCTGGATAGAAACTTTTCATCAGCCTTATGAATGGGTGGTGAGGTCATTAGGATGCATCTAAGCTATAGACATGTCCTGTCCCTGACCTTTGGCTTTAACCTTCACCTGCTGCCAGAGATGGGGGCGTGGGAGGAAGAGAAAGGGAGAGCAGGAAAGAGAGAAGTGAGTGGAAGCAGGGTAGGTAGGATGTGTGTGTACGCGCATACGTGCGTGTGTTCGTGTATACACAAATTTGCATTCCTTGACAGGACCTAGCCCAGTCACCCTCACAAAGCAGAACGGGTATCTGCCATTTGGGGTTCTGGGGAAAATGCCCCGGCTGCCTCTGAGGCATGGCTGATTGTTCTTTGTCTAGTCCACGGATGAGACTTTTGGGGTCAGGTCTTCACAGGAGACCCAGCTGACCTTCAGCCAGGCATTTTGTTTGTGACTGTGGAGTTTTGATAAACATGACCCATGTCCTGGGAAAAACATATCCCATGTAGTCACTGCAGTTTATTACTATTTTGATGTAGAAATCATGTCTCAACTTAGAGGAGAAGGCATAGTGTCCCCTCTACCATGTGAAGCAGGAAACTTAGGCTGACCAAGGCTCTTGGTCTGAGTGTCTGAGCACATGGCTTACTCTCAGGTCTGAGATGCCCCATTCTCTGGGAGGAAGCCAACCCTACAGGTTCTTTTGGGAGACAGAACTCATATGGCAGCTTCTGCCCAAGCTTCTCTCTGAGCTGGAATTTCTGGTGGCTGTCCCTTTAGTGATCCCGTCTCTCCTCAGCCCTTCTGTCAACCATCTGCAGGAATTACATTAACCCAGTTTCAAGCTGGTTGATGGTGGCACATGCCTTTAATCCCAGCACTTTGGAGGCAAATCTCTGAGTTCAAGGCCAGCCTGGTCTACAGAGTGAGTTCTAGGGTAGCCCAGGTTACACAGAGAAACCCTGTCTTGAAAAACCAAACCAAAACAAGTGAAACTTACCATGATTCCTCAGGAAATGTGAGAGCCCCTCTAAACCTTATCTAGATGCTGAAGCTAGCCAGAGGGCTTTAGGCCCCCTTATGTCTCCTTGTGATCTGATAGGCCCTTTCTCCTTAGGCTTTCCTGTGCTGACTGTCAAGGCTGATGCATCTATACTTCCATTCCCTGAATTGTGAATGAGGCCTCACTGGTGTATGAAGTTTTTGGATATAATCAAGCTGAGGCTTCTTTGTTTGTTTGTTTGTTTGTTTGTTTTTTCAAGTCAAGGTTTCTCTGTATTGTTTTGGAACATATCCTGGAACTAGCTCTGTAGACAAGGCTGGCCTTGAACTCACAGAGATCTGCCTGCCTCTGCCTCCAGAGTGCTGGAATTAAAGGTGGACACAATCAACACCCAGCTAGCTGAGAGGCTTTAAAAAATTATTTATTTATTATGTGCATAGGTATGTTGTTTGTGTTATGTCTTGTGTATCACGTATGTGTCTAGTGCTTGTAGAGGCTAGAAATAGCAATGGATTCCCGGGACTGGAAGTACAGATGGCTGTGAGCCACCATGCTGGGAACTGAACCCTAGTCTTCTGGAAGAGCAGTCAGGGTTCAGTTAACTGCTGACCCATCTCTCCAGTCTCAAGTTGAGGGTCTTGAGATGATGACATGGTTTTCTGGAGCCCCAGATACTGTACAATAGGGGCAAAGGGAGAGAAACAGGAGCAGATGAGATGGAGACTGAGTGGGGGGCGGTAAGGGAGGGGAGTCGCACAGCAGTGATGTACTCTAGTTGTCTCTGTGACTTGAAGGCAGAAGTAAGGACCTTAGAATGTCTGGAAGGAGCCCAGCCAAGTCCACAGTGAGGCTAGATGTAAACTTCTGGTATCCTTAGCTGAGGGAGAGTACACTTCTGTTGCTGAAAGTCATGAAGTTTGTGGCAATTTATTACAATAGCTGGATGAACCAGTATACCAAATCATCCCTCTTTCTCTGGGCTCCTCTGTGTTTTTTTGACACTAGCACTTTACCAGGGGTGTATTTTATGTAAGTTTTGAGATTACAATATAAGTTATAACATTTCCCTTCCCTTTCCACCCTCAAATCCTCCCATGTTCCCCTCCCCACTCTCCTTTAAGTTTATGACTTCCTTTTTAACTGTTATTGCATGTATGTATATGGCTAAACATATATTCCTAAATACAACCTGTTCAGTCTGTGTAATGCCACCTGTATGTTTTCAGGGCTGACCATTTGGCACTGGACAACCAATTGGTATGTCCTTCCCCAGGGAAGACAAACTCTCCCACTCCCAGCTTTCCTCAGTGGCCTGTAGTTCTTTGTGTAGGGTGCAGGCTTTGTGGGCTTTTCCTTGTCCACTGTTGTGTGTCTGTTGGGGCTGTCCTTGTTCAGTTCATGTTTGCCTTTAGGTCTATAATGCATTTGAGCTATTTTTTTGAGAGGAGGCCGTCTTTGTCTCAGTTGTTTGTTTTTGGGTTGTGAAATCTGGGGTTTCAGCATCTTTTGTGGAATAGACACTTTCTTTGTACCATTGTTATGTCTTAACTCCTTTGTCAAGATCTGTTGATATTTGTGTGGGTCTATTTCTAGACTATCTATTCCATCCCATTGTTTTTATTTATTTATTTACTTATTTCAAGTATAATGCTGCCTTGCCTTTTGTCACTATATGACCTTATTTTAAGTTGGAGAGTGTCAATTTTGTTTTGATGATTCTGGAATTCTGATGTTAATTCTCTTGGTGCTTGTGCACTGGTGTAGGGCTTATACCCGGGGGTGGGGTGGGGGGTGGGGGGAGGGCTTTTCTGTGGTGACTCTGTCCTGCAGCTTGGCTATGATCACTTATATCTCTAGGAGTATTTTGGTTGTTGTCCAACTCATTGGAGTTTTCCTTATAGGCAATCAGATAATTGGAAAAGAGACTTTTGTTTCCTTTGCTCATCTACCTACATTTCTTTCCATTTCTGTATCCTTTCCTCTCCCATTAGCTGGGTCACCTCTATGATACTGAGTAGGAGTGGTGACATGGGCAACCCAACTTTGTACTTCCTGATCACAAGTGAAAATAATCTACTTTCTCATCATTAAGAAAGAAGTCAACTTTAGCTTTTTGTAAATGTTCTTAATTTGGGGGAATTTCACTCTACTAGAATTTTACTAAGTTACTATAAAACTATCCCTTCTTTTAAAATCAGTCTATAAGAGTGTTTTCTAGAATCAGCAGTAGAGATGTTTCTAGAACCATCTCTCTCCACACTGCTGCTCTGTAGATGCTGTTCTTGCCCTCATTCCCTACATGTTGGCCTCTCAGTCCTCAGCCATCCAGTCTCCACTACTTGAGTCTTTCCTATGCCTTTTCTTCAATTTGGAAAAGTGTCCAGACCACTAAAGGTTCAAAAAGGGTTCTAATCAACCAGTTGTTTTGTTTTGTTTAGGGCAAAATTTCCTTTATGAAGCAGATTTAAGCAGGCAACTTGCTCAGGCCGGTTCTCCATTGCCTGTCTCTTTGGACTCATCACCGCTATGCGTCATGCCTCAGGCTCAGATCCTACCTGGAAAATGCCAGATGAATTTTTGTTGGCATATGTGCTACCTGAACAGTCCCCTGCCAGAACCTTTGCTGTGAGAAATCCAAAAGTTGGCCAAGCTCCTCAAGGCTGGCCAGGCTCCAACCCCCGGCGTAACCTAAGTGCTCCACCTGCTGTGCTACCTGGACTCTCCCCAAGTACAGCACCCTCCACTTTGCGTTTTGGACCAGCACCAACAGGATTGTATCCCTCCATCCCTCTGACTGGGCCATCACCAGGATCCCCAGCACCTTTTCTTCCTTCTGAACTGTCATGTCCCCAACCCAGTGGTCCTTATCCAGCCTCTGCTGTACGAGGCCCTGGTCCGATAGGGACATATGCTACACCAAATATGCCTCTTCCAGAGTTACCTAGGCCATATGGTGCACCCACAGATCCAGCTGCTGCTGCTACTTTAGGTACACGGGGACCCATATCTTCTGGACCTTGGGCACCAGGAACTGGGGGGCAGCATCCTAATGTGCCATATCAATCCCCAGGGCCACATCCCACTGTTCCTCCTCCAGTGTCAGGAGTACCGCCTATTCCATGGGGCACTGTGCCACCGGGAGCCTGGGGACCACCAGCACCATATCCTGCCCCCACAGGAGCATATCCCATGCCAGGACCTCATCCTACTCCGAATAATCCTTACCAAGTGACTTCAGGATCTTCTGGTACTCCACCAATACCTGGTGACCCACATAAAGAGGATGAAGTCCCAGGGGGCTCCCGTCCTGATACATCCAACCCGGAGAGCACCCCGGAGACCACTGGACAAGCGAAGCAACTGAAGGTAGATGACAAACCCATCAAGAGGAGACGTTCCAAAAAGAAGAGTAAGCCGGTAACTTGGGGAGACATCAAAACGTTAACTCATGAAGCTGAGACCTTGGGGAAACAACAAGGACACAATACTGCTGACCCCAAAATGATGCTGTTATGTTTAATGACGATACTACATGTTAATTCTCAGCGTGGGAATGCAGAATCCAAATGACTCTTGTCAGTGGGAATAAGTGGCACACCTGTAATAAACAGCATGATGTTGGTTTGTCAAAAAAAGAAAAAACAAAAATAAAAAAACCCATCACCATCAGTCAGTTTTTGTTCTGGGCTTTGTCCAACTTTGTGGGCTTGGTTGTTAATGGGGTACCTTCAAGGGACAGCTAGGTCCTCAAGTTTCACCAGCATACTAGCCAGCATCAAGTTCTGGCCTTCTCTAGATGCAGAAGACACAGAAGCAGTCACAGCTGAAGGCTTCCCAGTAGCCCTAGCTCACCATTAGGGTCTGCCCCCCATCCTTCCAGATCTGCCCCCATCCTTCCTGATCTGCCCCTATCCTTCCAGATCAGTGATCAGGGCTGCAACACTTCCAGGGTTTGTGGTGAAGACCAGGCCTAAACCACTGAGCATTGTGGCACACCATGAATGAAGCTTTCCCTGAAGCTTAGCACTGCCTCATTGGTGGTGTGTGTGTGGGGGGGTCAGTCTTTCTAAGACCCTGGACCTTCCAGTTAAATATTCCTCTGCCTTCACCAACTTTCCTTGGTTGGGGTGGCAGGGTTGCCTCAGACAGGCTCCCCTTTCAGATGCCACGTGCATGTTCTGGAAGGCGTGTGCTGCTGCAGGTGTTCATATGCATGGCTTTTTAGGAGGAAAATACAGAACATGGCAGGGAAGAAATTCACCACAGGGTGGTGCTCTTGTGTCTCATTTTAAGGGGATTTCCCACCCCCACCCCCAAGTTAACAATTTTTTTTTTTTTAACTAATTTGTCTACAAAATGAACAGGAGGAGGTCTGAAGTGAGATTCAGCACTGCTGGGATTCCTTGGGACTTTGGGGCTTGTCTCCCTTTGCCTCCTTACCAGAGCCATTTTCCCTCTTTAACATCCATTGTTTCAGGTATAAGTCATTTGGCTGTCCCCTGGTGGAAAAAAGGAAACAAGATGCTCACTGGATCGGTTGGATGCTGAGACTATCTGCGGAGCTGGGGAAAGAGCACACAGGTCTGCACTGGGAATCGAACTGGGAACCCTGAGCACCGAGCTACACTGCCAGTCCCCACTGCTGTGGCCTCTAAGGAAATGCTACAATATTCTGTCTGGGTTCCATTTTTAAAGAGGAATCTGGTCTCCTCTAGAGGTCCTAGGTAGACAGCAATGTGCCATTAGTGAGTTTTCCAAAAGACTTTATAACAAAAGGTTTAGAAGTTTTCTTTAACTTTGGTGCTAGAGAATCTGTCTGTTAAGAGGAAAGGCTATGGGAAGAGGGCCTGGGAAGCTCACAATACCCACGGCTGTAACTTGTTACAGGGGATCCAATGCGTCTAGCTTCCATAGCCGTCAGGACTCATGTACATGTTCACACACAGAGACTTGCACATATACACACAACTATAAATAATTAACATTAAGAAAGGAAGCTATTAGCTAGGGCTGTAGCTAAGTTACTAGAGTGCCTGTTTAGCATGCTGTGAGGTCCTTAGTTTGATCTCTACATCACATAAACAGGGCATGATGCTGCACATCTGTAATCCCAGCACTCAGAGGTAGAAACAGGAGGATCAGTAGTTCAAAGCTATCCTTGATGCTTAGTGAATTTGAGGGCCTTGGATTACACCAGATTGTGTCTCAAACTAAGCAGATTTACCAGATTTCAGGAGCAATGGATATACTTGATAGAATTATAGGTATGGCCTAGGGTCTTTTGAGCACCTCCATAGTTCTCAGGGCAGAGTTGCAGGTGCAGGACTGGATCCTTCATTATAACCAAAACCGCAAATGAGTCCTGAGGTCCTGGGTCATCTTGCAGCCTAAGATAGCACCAGATGACCAATTCAAGGGCGAGGCCACAGTGGGCAAGCACTATCTAGATTGTAACACCTAAGAGAGACACTGAAGGTACATTCAGGAAGATCCAAAACAAGGGACATCTTCCTCTTGGGTGAGGTCGTGGGGACCCTCTGTTCTCACCTATAGGATTGGGTTGTGCCTTGGGTCTCCCTACCCTAGCACTGAGCCTAGCCCAAGCACCTGGTCCTTAGCCTTTGCCTGGTCTTTGGGTTCCTGGGTTTTCCCCATGCTTTTGGCCTCTAGGAAGTCCTGCTAGTGATAACAGGCTTCTTACCTTTGTGGTCTGAGGTTGAGTGTTTCCAGGCCTGGAGCAACCTCCTACTTCAAAGTGGGCATTGGGCTATAGACAAGGAGATAGCCTGGCTGCTGCATACTATGCCAGCTGTTGGTACAGAATGGTTCCAGTCCTTTAGGACACACATCTCAGTGTTGTCAGGGACTTGGGCTAGATGGTGCTTAGAGCAACTAGGAGCAAAGTCATTGCTCAGATCCTACACCCCTAGTCTCATACGGCCTGCCTGCCACACCACATGTAGCACCATCATTTGCTCAGGAATTGGTTTGTTGCGAGGGAGCCTTGTGTGAGGGATCCTTGGGGAACCTGAACACATCAGGGACCATGGAGACCCTAGCCTCTCAAAGACTGGCCAGTGGCACTGACTGCTTGGAAAAGCCACAGATAATCTGTCCCTCAGGGCAGCCGGACCAACGTGGGTTAGTTCCACATAGTCTTGAGTAAGAATGAATGTCCTATTCTTAAGCCCAGAACAAAAAAGCCCCAGGCCACCTTTTCTTATGGCCCTTTAGCACCTGGTCACTCTGAGTGGGCTTCTTTCTCTTGGTTGTACACTGATTTGTTTAGATTTCTTTCCGGCATGCTTCTGGGGATCCTCTACACCCACAGGCAGGCCAACTGTCCACTAATGTGCCCTCATTCTACTGCCCAGCAGTGAAGCTGAAGTCCCCATGTCTCTCCAGGACTACAAATGTCGAAGAACTTAGGAGCAGACCTTTTGGGAATCTTGGGCCAGAGGCTGTCCTGGGAACTGAGTCAGGTCACCTGAGTTACCCCTGGGTAGATGTGGTCTGTGAACAGTTGAAAAGCCTGTAGCTAGAAACAGGGAGTGTTCATGGTGTGGCCATACAAGACCCTCTCCCCGGGTGCTTTACAGTCTGAGCAGCCTTCCTGTGACAGCAACTATTTTAAGGAACACAAGGCTATAACTCATTAAATTCCACCAGCCCTCTAGATTATTTGACATTTTAAATATGCAGACTTCAAATGGCTTTCTGGACATTTCTATCCCCACATCTGAAGATTCACATCTCTTTAACTCGGAGCTCATTTTGTGTTGAATGTTGCAACACTTGTCATTTCAAACTAATGTATTAGAGTCAGGGGAGAATAATTTACTTGGAAAATCTAGCCTCCATAAATAAAATAAATAACAATACATAAGCAATTTGAGTACATTTACAGAATACCAAAGTGGAATGTCAGCCTAGAGTTGTGCATGCTCTTATTTCACTATTAGTTGACAACACAGGACTCATGCTGACCTGTTCTGGAGGTAAAGGATTTCTAGAGGCCCCCATCCCTCCCCGTAGCTCTTGGGCCATGTAGTTGATGGCAGAGGTGTTTGCCTCTGATTTTAGGGATGGATAAGAGAGCCAGTAGAGGAGTGGAAGCTTCCTGGGCTGTATTAGTGGCACCTCTAAGGCTGTTGTGAAAAAGTTGCCACGAGAAAATTTGTACTTGGCTTTACCTCCCTCTGCTGGGCAGAGCTTAGTCTTGTCTCTCAAGAGTGGATGCTCTCTGTTCTGTTGTCTCAGAAACATTTAATGCCCTGGAGAAAAATGATGAGCTTCTCAGGACACTGATTTTATCCCACAAGAACTTGCTCACATACTGTTTTATGTATTAAAATCAAGGAGGTAGCGTGGTAGCTTGTACCATTATCCTAACATTTGGGAGGCTGAAGCAGCAGGGTAGTGAATTCAAGGCCAGCCTGAGCTACAGTCAAGAGACTGTTTCAAAATAAACAAAACGGAACAAAGACCCCAGCAATCAGTGATGTAATTAAGGACTATGTTAGATATTACAAACTACTGACATTTACAAAGAACTAAGCTATTTTCCTGTGAATGTCAACTGCAGGCTGCACCCCCATGCCTGTTAAAGTGTGTCCATTTGTCCCCCTATCCAGGAGCTCCACAGCCGTGGCCTGTATCAAGCATGTGGTGTCATCTTCTGTGTTCCCCTTCACCCCCTGACACCCCCATCCTCTCAGGCAAGTCCCTCAGAGTTGGAGAGCCTCACCAGGTGAGAGTGGGACCTACCCCTGAGCAGACCTGTGCCTGGTATTCCTTTCCCCCAGCCTGGAGCCAGCCACTCTGGCTTATGTAGTTTTCCTTTGGTGTTGGAGATTGAACCTTGGGTCAGCTTTTGTAGTGAAGGGGAATCTTCCAGGGTTTCTCAAGTGCTAGATTAGCACTCTTCCACTGAGCTACCACCACAGGGACCTGACTCTGACTTTTGTGCTATGTTGGGGCTGAAACCCAGGGTCTTGTACATGCTAATTGCTTTTGGTTACTTTTCTCATTGCTATGATAAAATGCCCAAACAAACTTGAGGAGGGCAGGCTTCCTTCCTTCCTTCCTTCCTTCCTTCCTTCCTTCCTTCCTTCCTTCCTTCCTTCCTTCCTTCCTTCCTTCCTACTCAGTTTGGGTGTGTAGTTCACCATGGCAGAGAAGGCATGGCAGCAGAAATGAGGCAGCACTGTTGTCAGGGAGAGGAGAGAAAAGTGCTGTTGCTCAGATTCCTTTCTGCCCCTCTTCCTGCTCCTGCTGCTCCTGCTGCTCCTCCTGCTCCGGCTGCTCCTCTTCCTGCTCCTGCTGCTCCTGCTGCTCCTCTTCCTGCTCCTGCTGCTCCTGCTGCTCCTGCTGCTCCTCTTCCTGCTCCTCCTGCTCCTGTTGCTCCTGCTGCTCCTCTTCCTGCTCCTCCTGCTCCTGCTGCTCCTCCTGCTCTGGCTGCTCCTCTTCCTGCTCCTGCTGCTCCTGCTGCTCCCGCTGCTCCTCTTCCTGCTCCTCCTGCTCCTGCTGCTCCTCCTGCTCTGGCTGCTCCTCTTCCTGCTCCTGCTGCTCCTCCTGCTCCCGCTGCTCCTCTTCCTGCTCCTCCTGCTCCCGCTGCCCCTCCTCCTTACCCTCTTGAGACAGGGTCTCACTATGTAGCCAGGCCTGGAGCTA